AAGAATTTAATAAATGTGTGAATAAAAACCTAAAGGTAAGCAAAAGTAGAATGATCAATTTATCCAAGGTATGGATACAAGTACAGTATACTACACAATCATTACAAATGACAATGTATCTATGCATTTTCTACTCTATTAAAATGTCTACAAAAGATTAAGTCTAAAAGTCTGGTTATTAAATATACATAAGGCTGCTTTCTAGGACAAATATATACATACACACAAATATGTAGTTCTAAACATCTACATAAAAAATTTTAAAGGTTGCATATGTACATATACACAAGGCATTATCAAAGCATATGGTGAATGTTTATTTATTCTTAATTATTACAGCAAAAGACATATTGCTATTAACCCCCCTCAAAATACTCCCCTTCATTTCAAAAACTCATCTTTTTTTGCCAATTTTGGAAGCAGTTCTGGAAGTCTTCTATCTAGCTATGTTGTAGCTACCTTGATGTCCTGAATGAATTCAAAATGCTTACCTTTCATGATCATTCTGACTTTGGGAAAAAGAAACCATAAATTCCTCTATGCCAGATTCAGCAAGTAAGATAAAAGACACACTGTAATGTTTTTACCAGCCTTTCTCATGGATGGCACTCAAATATTCACCATATTTTTAATCACACCAGGTAACAACACGCATGAAAAAGGATTTCCAGAATTGCTTCAGAAAGTGGCAGGAACTGTAGTATAAATGTGCTTAAAGGGGGTAAGGGGGGTGAAAGGTGATTAATGGCAGTGTATCTGTTACTATGTTAAAATTTAAACATTCATCATATTTTGACTACTCATATATGAAAATGTTGAGAATTCAGTTATAAGAGAATTTCCAGTTTTGTCTTCTGCCTTCAATTCTCTGCAGAAAGATAAATATTCTAGAACTTAAAGGAAAGCTGACATCAAAGGCTTAATTACTAGAACTTGGGTCCTGTAGGAACTAAAGAGATAAAAAGTATAAGCATGATTTGCAGAGCACAAACCAGTTCTTTGGTATATGAAGAAATCTGATGGATAAGGCAATATTTTCTACTACTTGCAAAGATGGATCTCAAATGGCACTGTCAAACTTAGCAAATACCTTTAAAGACCTGGAAAAATTCATTTCCAAGTGAAGCAAGAAAATGCGCCCCCCTCCCCGTGCTGCACTATATGTCTTAGACCCTCAACAGACGGATTCTTGACTTGAAAATAAACACTCTTCATTTTCCTTCTGATAGATACAGATAATTTTAAAACTCTAGAATTAAAACAAGTATCTAAAAAGAAAACACATTTAAGATATACTATAAACCTGGAATTATAAAAAAGTGTATTTAGTGATCTAAGTACATGACAATACAAACCTACTCTCAGGGAACAGGTGTTACTTGCAAAGAAAATCTACTTGTAAACAGATGTATGGGATTCAAAATACATTTCCCCACCGAAACAATGGTATAATGGTGGTTAGCTGCCGTTTGGCATACAAAGCCTATCCTGTTGTTAGTGAGAGGTATTTATCCCACACCTGCATTTTATGTGCATGACATTGTACAGCAGTCTAAGTGAGGAAACCAGTAATATCTGGGGAATAAAAGTCCCTCTCCAAAAAGGCTCTTTAGCTAAAGACATGCCACCCCTAAGATTATACCCTCAACCAGGGAGCAGCTCAAGTCCAAATGACCAGGAATGGGGGAAGGGGAATATAATGGTCCTGTCCTGATGTCTCTGGGTGATATACCCCAAAGGGCCATCCAGATCCAGAGCTACCCCTTGGTTACAGAGGCATCGCAGTTCACTTCCTCTTTCTGCCCAATCCTGCTCCCTTCTACCTCCCCCCCAGTCAACGGTATCCCCTACACATAAATCCCTGTGTCTTACAGATTGTTTCCAGCATCTAAGACAAATAATACTTCACAAGCTCACACTGTAAGGGGGCCCTGCTCTAACATATTATATATAACATATGTAATGCATATAATATAGATATCTTCCTACATATGTATGGGTAGGTAATATAATCCCATTATATACAAGCAGAAATCAAGTTTAGGAATGTTCAGTGGTTTGCCCAGGGTCATCTACAAAAATACTTAAGGAGTTAAGATTTAAATCTACGTCTACCAAATGCTAATAAATCACAAATTTATCTGCTAGGAAAAGTTATTAAATGACTGAATGGCAGAATTAGCTCAGGGATTCTAACAGTCAGGAATGAGTGGACCGGTGAACATTCCTGGCCACAAAACAGAAATTTACAAAAGTACTTGGGATCCAGACCTGCTGAAAACTAAATACACCTTGCTAAAGGTTTCTTACATTTTAGGCCAAAACAAAAAAGCAGAGGCCTAAGGGAACCAGAATTTCACAATGAAGCTACATAGTTATAATCTACTGCATAACTACTAGATCCTAAAAATAATGATTGGAAAATCTTGTCCACCTACAATCAAAATGCTACATTAAGCACAGACAGATGTGTGGGAGGAGGATGGTACTTCCTCATGCTTCCATGTGTTTTACTCCAATCCCTGCAAAAAAGCCTCAAAAACTGGTATCTAAACACTGGTATCTAATAAATTTCTTATCAGAAGTACAGTATCTTTACATTTAATATTCTTATTCAAATGCCTGATTGCAACCAGTTCAACTTCAACTATAACCAGATCATAGCTTCCCAATTATTGATCCTCTTTTATAAAGTAACTACAACAACATTACTCTGCTCTGGTGGCCACATTCTCTAGCAGTTACAAGACATAAAACCACACTATAAATTCTAAACAACTATTAATAAAACGTGGCTTGATCAGCGAGAATAAACCATTTAAAAGTTTAACAATATAAATTTACTTCTCTGTGGGATAAATTATATATTGACAATCACAAAACTTAGCACCAATTAAAAATTGAAATACACTCAGAAACACTAAAAATACTAAAAATAGTTCAATTAATGTCACTTTCAAATTCAAAAATAACTGATTTTGTTTACCTGTTTCCTCTTCCTATAAAAATTCACCAATGCCACCTCTCCCACACCACGCTGTATATTTTATGTATATTATACGACAAAACCTATAAATGGGCAGTTGATGGTTTCTTCAAATTAAAAATCATTCATTAAGACATCACAGCATATCTGAATCAAGAATTGGATGACATAAAACACATCTCACAGCTTTGGTATCTGTAGTTCCTGTGGCCCTGATGTTTGCCCTATATATTCTTTTCCTGTATTTAATAGAAAAGCGTCTAACCAGAAAAATGTTTTCACACAAATATATACAATACTGCTAAATCTACCTGATTTTACCACTTCAAAGAATAATAATGGGAGTTCTATAACCAGTTCAATGTTTTCAACTAGAAGGCATCTCTTGCCTAAGAAAAACACTTCCTCACTCTATGTACTTTAAAGTGGTCAGATCATCTTTTGGAAAAAGGAAAAAAAAAAAAAAGGAAGCTTGAATTTCCACATAGGCAAAAAGAAAAACAAAACAAACAAATAAACAAACAGCCTGGTAGACCAGAACAGCTGCTGGAATAGAATGCAAACTCCATGACTAGGATCCCCTAGTCTTTATCGAGTGCAGGGAATACTCTAAGTGATTAATAAGTAACAGCAATTATTCACTAATCATGTAGTATTTGTGAGGAATGTCACTATGCTTACCATATAAAACAAGCCTTAAAATAATAAATGGAGGGAAGGGGCACTCTGAGGAGCCAATGTAGTTTTCTTCCTCCACATTAAAGATAAGGAAACTGAGGCTCAGAAAGACTGAGCTTCCCAAGATGACGAAACTTTGGATAACTGGGCCAAGAGTCTCTTATGCAGAGTTTGAGCACCTTCTTCTCTGCTACAATAATATCAAACGAAGGTTAGAGCTAGGAAAACAAAAGAACATAGAGAATAATGGCTTGCTAAAAGTTGTACCAATAACATTCACAAACAAAATAAAAACAGAAATAAATCTTCTTTCTAAATTGAAGGACACAACCAGTGGGCCTGCGGTTCTATTTCTTAAAAGAGTATATTCAATCTCCTATATACTAAGCACTGTAGGATTCTTGTAATTGCAGGTGCTCAGTTCAAAAAAGTGACTGATCTACACAAAGAATGACTTGAAAGCCGAACCTTCGTGTTATACTGATAACAATCCTAATCTGCCTTATGAAACTACACCTACATTCTTTCTAGTATAATTAATTGTCCACTAAAAGGAATTCACGGAACTATCCAAATCAGCGTCTGCCCAGCACCCTCTAACGAAAAACAGTCTGTACATAACAGAAATCCTGTCACACATCCCTACATGGCCCCTCAAAGAGCATTCAAGTACTGTGTTAAAGTATTAAGCTTCTCTCTTAAAACGTGAAGTAAAATTACATAGAGCATGATCCTTTTTTAAACTACGGGCTGGGAACGGAAGTCAAGTTCAGATTCTCTTCCTTCCTCAAGTGAGCCACAGAATTAAAACGCACCCTACACACACACACACACACACACACACACACACACACACGCCCTACAGTAAAAATGTGTCACCTGGGGCAATCAGCACAGCAAGCAGGCTTTGCTGGGAATCAAGGCTTACCGCCATTGGGGGGAAGGCGGACGGGTTCGGGGAGCCAGGGAAAGAATAAACTGGTGCCTAACTTTAGAATCGGATCATTCTCAACTTGAGCAGCTCTTTCTTTCCTTCCTTCCAGCAGCCCAGGTCACATGCCAGGGCTCTGCCACCGCGGGCAGCCCGGGCAGGGTCTGAGGGCAGCCCTGCTGCAGCTGGGCACCCCGGGCGGCCCTCGGAGTCCCGAGCACGGGCTGCCCGGCGCGGACCCGCGCGGGGCCCGCACGTCTGTCCCCGCCGCGGCCAGGCGTGGGGATCGCGAGGGGCAGCCGCCGCGGGGCGGAGGGGCGGGGTGCGCACTTCCCGACTCGCATTGTCCACGCGTCGCCCGCGCCGTCCACGTCGGGGAGGAAGTTGGCGCCCGCCCCGACTCACCGTTCCTGGCGTCTCCCACGGCGGCAGTCCCGGTAGCGTTCGCGGCTCCGGTTCCCGCGCCTCCGGAGCCCGCCGCACCCCCGGCGCCCGTCGCGCCCGCCGCCGCCGCCCCGCAGCCGGCCGTCGCCGCCAGAGCCCCCCCGGCCGCCGCGCCCGCCGCGCCCGCCGCGCCCAGGGCCCCGGCTCCATTTTCCTGCTCGTCCCCGCTGCTGTTGGCGCGCTTGTTTTTGCGGCCGCCTTTGCTGTTTTTGGGGTTGGGCATCGCGCTCGTGACAGCCGGGGGCCCCGAGTCAGCGAGGGCTGCTCTCCGCGGCGCGGCGGCGGCGGCTGGCCCCGCGCGGAGTTCGCTCCAGGGGACCCGCGACTCCCAAGGCGCCCGTCTAGCCGCGCGGCCCGCGCCGCGACATCTCGGCCGCCGCGCCCTCCCAAGCTTCCGGGAGCGGGCGCGCGGCCACCCGAGGCTCGCAGCCGCGCGGGCGCCGCGGGCCGGGGGCGCGGTGGAGAGGCTCGGGAGCCTGAGGGAAAAGGCGGGTCTCCGGCTTGTTTTGATTCGGCTGCGCTGACACGCTCTGGCCCGCCCCCTCCCGTGACGACGCAGGGGATTCGGCCTGGCCGCGCCCACCGGGTGACCTCACGACAGGCGGGCCCGCCCCGCCCCGCCCATGTGACGTCACGCCCGCGCGGAGCCCGCCCGCTTTCGGATGATGTCATCCTGAGGCTGCGGGATCCGGTCGTGGGGTGACCGCCATTACTATGGTGGCCCAAGCGACGGTCTGAGGACCTCCGCCGAGGTTGTTCGGTGGCTTCCTGAGCTTACAGTGAAATTGTGGCTTAGGACAAAATAGCCCGGAAAAATAAGCAGGTGGCCAGAACAGGAAGGGAAAACAAAGGATTTTGGATTAATCACCCATTCAGTGGCTCTGCCATTCAAGAACAATGAAGAAATAGATTGAGTGCCTGGACAATGGAGATCAACAGCAAGGTTTTAGAATGAAAAGGTTGCACCCTTCTGTGGTCAAAACAATTCATTCAAACAGGATCCACGGACCAGGGACCTGACTAAATGGTTGCTTTCGACCCCAACCCTGTGATGTCCTAAACTGTATTGAAAAATGGTGGCCATCTTGTGAGATTAGAAGGTGACACCCTTGGAAACGCAAAGGACCTCTGGGAAGAGTCTCTCTTCTCCAGTTACGCCTTTTCACAGCCTCACTACTCCCCCTGTTCCTCAGCCCCAAAAGGCTGTGTGTCCCTTTCTTCAGTGATCCCACTGAGACGCCTCAAAAAAGCTGTCAGAAGCATCACCCCGTTTATTCCCCTCGGCTATCTCTGATTATGTTGTCAGTGTATATGTTTGCTTATTTTTTGTCTGTATCTCAAATGAAACCTCCATAGATATCTTTTATCTATGTTGGGCATTTTGGAGAACAACTAGCATAAGCTTACTGAATCTATCACTTACTTTCCCATAAACTGTGGAGGAAAGACTATTAGTGTAGTTGTAGTTGTAGTTGATTATTTTTACAGTGTCCTTTTCCTATAGTGTAATTTTTAACTACCCCAATGAACGGGCCTGGGGCTCTGTCATCAGACCCACAGGGCTAGACAGGGAAGTGCTGGGAAGAGTGTCCTCTGCACTCACCTAATGGAGGATGCCCCAGGGCAGAGCCTGGAGCAACAAAGAGAGCAGTAAATACTGCTGGTAATTGCTACTTGCAGTTTTTAGAGGGAACTCGATGAACACTTTAGTTCCCCAATATTGAATACATTAGAAGAAATTGGCCCTGTAGGGAGTCCTACAGATAATACATGATAAACAGAGATGCTTTGTTCCTGTATCTTCATACCTGTTTCTCCCCATCATGAGGTCCTCTAACCACTGGTATGTAGGTCTTTAGAACTCTGCAAAATAACACAAAGCCTTACCCACAGTGTTCAGTAAAAGTGTGCTAAATGGAGGACACCTAAAGCACTCCTCTGGCTATATTTTTCTGAACCTTAGTATCTCAACTAAACCATTAATGATCTAGGAAATATTTTCTGACAACTTTTAGCTAGATTTGGCCCCATGAACTCCTTGTGTCTTCCTTACCAAGACAGCTTGTGTACATAATATAGACATTGCGTGTTCACTTGCCAATCACTATGGACACACTCCACACACACTAAAATGGCAAAAACAATGTCTTGTTTATCATTGTATCTTGATGCCTGGCACAGTGCCTGGGTTACAGTATCAAATGCTTGAAAATACAAGAATAAATGAAAGGACAAATGCTTTGGAGAGAGATGCAGCAGGATTTGTCAGCCACTGGGAATGAGGCTATTAAACAGCAAAGTCAAGAAATTCTGAAAGCTGTTAGAAGAGATAATAGTACTTAATTAAGTGGAGATTGCAGTGGGAGAACAGTGGAGTTGTAGAGGAAGAAAATGAATTAATGTGGTCTGCTTAAGACATAGCTTGATTTCATTCATTACCAGTATGCCTCAGTAAAGGTGAGATCGCAAAATATTTTGGTGACATTAGCTTTGGCTTTTCTTTTTTCTTCTCTTTCTGTGTTTGTTTGTTTATATTTAAGTGGTGACAATGAAGAAGTTTTAGGCTAGCATACAAGAAAAGCGAAGTAACTATTTTCTTGAATAAGCACATTGCTGTTGTGCCATATTGATCAGAGTTAGGGTGCACATACCCTGCAGACAGACATTCACACCAGCTGCCTCCTGCCTCTATATTACTGAGATTTAAAAATTGGACACTTTCCCACAAAAATAGCATAATTGGCTCAAAGCGTGCAGACATCCAGCCAGTCGCTGTTCTGGCTCATTGTGAGCCACCTCCCCATTCCAACTGAAACAAGATGAAAGGAGGAAGGAGAAGCTGGGCCACTCCTTCCACACTCAACCTGGCTTAACTATTTTTAGCCTTAGTCAAATTTGACACAGAGACTATAATTCTGGTTTTATCGTCACAAAGACAATACACTAAAACTCAAGACGTGAGAAAGTTTTGGGGTAATTAAAGAACAACAGTTCCTACTTGCCATACAAAGCATGGGACTTCCCAGGAATCCTGTCGTCCTGACTCTGTTTCTTTCCCTTTTCTCCTCCACTTTGGAACGAAAGGGAGAGGAGAAAAATGGAGAAGGAGAGAAGAAAAAGGAAAAAATGAATAGAAAACTCGTAAAAAATATAAGATAGTGGGTAGTGAGCCAGATTCCTCCCCTCTCATGGTTCCAGAACAAATAATTGTAGAAAATTGAGGAGACCACTGTACTTTCTACACCTACACTTGGCTTCTCATTAATTTTCCTAATCAACACATATGCTAAAATACACTTCAAAAAAACTACAACAGATGTACCTCTCTCCCAGGTTTCTTTCCCTTCATCAGCCCTATCACTAAGTTTGGGCGAGGTTTAGAGTATCAATAATGTCTACTCTAAATGAACAAAAGGTGAAAAGTTAAGTATTGAAATATGACTTGACCAAAATCTTGTTTAGGAACTCCAAAGAAATTCTAAAGATGACAGAATAATTCACATTAGAGTTGTCTCCACTGGCAAAATAGGTGCTATTCCTGACTTGCTAAAGAGTATATTATCTTTATGCATTAGTGTCTTCTTGTAGAAATAGTCTCTGCTATGCCCACACACTTTCTTAGAGGAATAATGACTACTGTGTTTATAAAAATATTTAAATGGGATTTTAATGCAAACAGTAATATCTGATATTAAATGCCATAAATCATCTCTCATATTAGGTTGTCATGAACCTAACATTTTTCTCAAATACGTGTCCTCAAAATTTCTTTTCAGATCTTGAGTTATGATTTTTATGTTATTCCCATCATTTTATTTTTAAAAATCAGAATTCTGTGCTCAGTGACTCCTGGGCTTGCTACTTACTCCAAAGTCTGTGCCTTGTTTACCTATTCTGTTTTCCCACACAGCATCAACACTGTCTCAGACCCCTTCAAGAGACAGAGAAAGAAGAATATTTTCCAAGACAGACTTCCTGGACTCAGCCACTCCACACTCTCGATCGCTGCACACCTCCCTGTGCTCACCACCTGGCTATGCCAGTGTTTTCCAAATTGTGGGTCGTGGTCTGTTTGCAGGTTGTGAAATCAGTTCAGATGGTTTCAATCAGTATTTTTGGAAAACTGGAACAAAACAGAAAATATCACAGTGCATTGCTCATGGAAATTAAATATGGTTTTGTGCAACATAAGTAGTACTGTGTAAAGTTTAGATTACACACACAAATGCAAATATACACTGCATGTAACTAACACCTCTAATGTATGCTCACTATGATAACAATTATTTAAGTAGTTATAAGGAATTTGTCTATTTCAAATTGATTGAAACCAGCAACCCTTTATTGGAGCAGATAGCCAATAGATGACATTTTGACACGAAGTTTTCAAATCTCCATCCTCAGATCATGCTAATTATCACCATTTCCTATGAAGAACCATAAAATTTTATGACTCAGTTACCCATGACCTCACTTTTCTCTACCTTCAATCACTTTTCCCAGGTCTCAAACTACCCTGTGTCTTTGTCTCATGAAAACCTCTGACCTTTTCCTTGGAGGGGCGGCTTTGAGACTTGGGGCTTCCTCTGAGATAACCCATGTTTCTTCCCCATAAAGCGATATTTTTTCATACTGCCATTATAAAACATGATTTAATCACCATGTTTTAGTCCTCCCATAAGATGCCTGCCAGATTCTACTTAAATAACAGACCATCAGCCCTCCTCTAACTGCCTCCTTGAATACAACACTAGTTATGTATTGTCACTTAAAAAATAACCATGCATTTCAGAGACCTTAAGGACCAAATATGAAATATCTCACAGTTCCTGGATATAAGTAATCTAGTGTGACTTAGCAGGATCATCTCAAAGAGCAGGTCAAGTCAACTGGGGAAGAGTCCACTATCAGAGTCACTCCCAAGGTTATGGGCAGGATGCAGTTCCTCATGGTTCACTGGCCCCAGTTTCCCTCAGTTCCTTGCAAAAGGAAACTGCACAGAACAGCTCAAATAGGGCGTCTGGCTTCCTCCAAGTGAGCAAACAAGCAAGCAGGAGAGGATAGACAAGACTGAAGTTAGTCTTGTTTGTAAGCTAAGCCCAGAAGTAACATCCATTATTTTTGCCTCCTGCAAGCAAGTCCTTAGATTTATCCCAGGCTCAAGTGGTGGAGATTATATGAGGGTATGAATGCCTAAGGCTAGGGATAAGTAAAACCAGTCTTACAGCTGCCTACCATTAACAGTTAATATGCTACTTGCAACCTAAATTCTAATTCCTAAGGGTTTTATGTTTAACTTATAAAACCAGGCAGGTGGAAAACAGTAAAAACTTATTCTGGTTCTTCTTTTCTAAATTACTGTTTCAACTAATCAATCTCTTATAATGTTGGATGATTAAATTTCAGAATACTCAATAACTTTTGCAAATGCTTTTTTGCTTAAATTGTTTCAAGTCCCAGTTTTTATATACCATTGACTTACAGTTGCAGACAGAGCAGAATCAGCATAGTGCATTGTTGGG